TTTTAATGCGAATAATGTTGCTGGATTTACCGATGGTGGGATGGAGCTTGATTAGCGGTTAAGGTTTTCGGAAAAGGGGAGAGCGATAAGAAAATTGAGTGGGTGCAAAAAAAAAATAAAAAATAAAAATTGTGTCTGGTGGTTGTGGTACGCTCTGTTTTTTCTACCTTACATTATCAAACTAAAATATTACAAATAAGTCATACATATTTAATAATTTATATATACACATGAACAATTTCCACTCTTTTGGGGCAACTCAATAAGAGCAGGTTTTTCTGTATAGTTATCTCTAATTATATAGTTTTCCTAATAGATATAAGAAAGAAAAAAACCTTGTTGCAGATCTGATGCTTCGATGTGTTGCATTTTTTGAGGTTTCTTTTTTTGCTGGAATATCATTGGTGAAAACTTGCTAGTATCTTTAACTGTTGATCAATATCTACTGTGTAGTAATTAGAATAATCAAAAGTAAATCCTGTTAATAATAATAACTCTTTAAAAAATGTAAATGAAGAAATTTACAGCTAATATACAAAATGGATGAAAATAAAAAACAATTGAAACCCCGGAGCAATTTAAAAAATCACTAAAACATTGATGCAGAAGCAAATCTACCACATGACACCAGCTTCTGATAATCTAGGGAAATCTTCTACTGAACCGCCATTATAGATCAATCCACAAGTAGCATCAAATAATGGGAATTTATGTTGTGAATTGAAATTAACCAATAATTCATGAAAATCTTTTCGAAGTAAGTATACCTTGAGAACTTTGGCCCGTCAACACAATCTTTGACACCACCCTTTATTAAACCCTGATAAGCCTCCTCCAAACATAAAAATCTAAAGTAAAAATAGTTGCTTATGTCACTCTCAATGCATTTATGATACATAAGAATAGTTATTACAATAATTATCTGTGTTTTTTGGGGGATTTAAACATTAACGAACAATTAAGGGAATTCTACGGAATCATTTGGTATTTATGACCAAGTAGAGAAATATACGAGGAACATAAGAATTCAATTTATGATTTATTAAGTTTCCATATTTCCATATATTTTATAATTAAATAACTTGAAAAAAATTAAAAACGTTTTTTGCAGCCAATTTAATCAAAGTACGCGTATGATCAATTACAACAGTCGTGTACCGCACATTTACAAATAGATCTATACTAATTCAATTTAGATTAGTTAAATATTCTACTAATCGACATCTTTATCCATCCAACGGCTGACTAAAAAGTTACCAAAGGTTGAAATCAAGAGAGTTGGTTGACTGGTAACATTTTGAATCTATGTATCCAATTGAAAAACAGCCAAAATAATCCCCCCATGAAACATACAAGGGCGACATTCCAATGTCATACAACGACCGCTAAACCTAAGCCATTCAATATATGGACCTATCTAGAGATAAACTTTTTGGTATTCATATTTTGACCGTTTGTAGCCTAATAGATATAAGGAAAAAAACCCCAGTCTGACTCGGAGTTATACTATTGCTCCACCATTACCCAATACAACATAATTAATAAGGCAAACCACTCATTTTGAAGTGGCGTAATAAGATTTGCTTAGGATGGTACGAGATTGATTGATCGTCCCCCTCCCCATAGCCACTTGACATATAATTAAAGTTGAAATTTGAGCTGCCGCATACAATATAAACAACCTAATACAATGTATCTAGTAAGCAACTATTATAACCCACACAATTACTACAGCATTTATTCGTCAAATTCGTTACTATATATTCTACACATTTCACAAGTTATGGGGATTTTCCCATCTCTTTATATGTTTCACTTTTATGCTCCAATGGGGCTTTTTCCCATCACGTTCCATTAGCAAATTCTGCTAAAACACTTTGCCTTACATTCATTTTGTTTTACATTGGTCAGATCTCACTTGACTTGGCAAAGGTAAAAGCACCGCTCCCTTCACTGGAAGAATCCAGAGATAGCACACAAACATTAGACTGTAACATCACGTACAGTCTCATACACATCGCTTCTTTCATTGGAAGAATACCAAGATAACACGCAAAATATAATCTGTCGCATCTCGTTCAGTTTCACATTTATACTCCTTTAATATCTTAATATGTCATTTAATCATTTATTTTAATCTGTAACATCAAGTACAGTATTATTGTTTCACATTTAATTTTTATTCTTATATTTGCTTGACTTCGAAAAGCCATTAGATTACACTTATTTCAACAATTAATTCCTGGGGAAGGGTGCGGGTGTCAAGAAATATTTTATTAAATATGAAATCTAAAAAAATATTTTCCATTTCCAAAAGTTTATTCTATGGGATTTAATTGAAAATTAATAATCCATAATACGAAAGCACTTTCCCTTTCAGTTCAGACAAGAACAATACGTACCAACAAGCACAACGACAAGAAGAACAATAAGGGATCATGCAATAACAAAATGTACACGATGATGATCAATGATCATTAAAATTAAATTGCTGGGGAAAACAATTGCCATTGTCTTGTGTCAATTGTGATTTACGAATTGTTTAGTAATCCTATTGTTCTTTTGGTTTGGAGGAGGGGTGAGGTTGGTTAGAAAATTAATTTATAATTCATTCCAATTATTATTATTATGAAAGCAAAGAAGGTCAGGCCCACTTATTTCTATCGAATAAATAGTCATTCCTATACAAACTGCTTAATGCTTTCATCAGACAATCTAATTGACTAGGGAGAGTCTCAATCGTTGAAATAAAACAGGATGGCTGCAAAACTGCACTAGAGATAACAAGACACTGTTGCCATCCTGAAAGGTTTAACCCTGTAAGAACCGTTCTTCCGACATTCCATTACCCAATGAGAATTTATTTCATATAAAAGCCTGGTTGTGAAATAATTACAAGCGGAGTCCCACCCCCAACCAACTTCATCATTCCTCTTTTAGTATAAATAGAGCTTTAGTTTTCCTCAATTCAATCTCACTTCCTCATTCTTTTCCAACCATATCCAATATGAATTTATTTGGTATAATTATTTTTTTACAGACGCTCCTATTTGCAACCGCAAGTTATGCCCCCCAAAAAGTCAACTGTCCAGCCAATAGTCAATTAACAAGATCCTCAAATGGTTCCCTGCTCAGTCCTCAAGAACAAACCTACATCACCAATCGTCTAGCCGTCGCCAAGCAACACTTATACACTTTCTTAATCAATGCCAATCTCCAAGATTTTGACGTGAATTCATTCTTAAACCAAAGTCAACCTACAATTGGCCCTGCATTTAGTGGTGGGGGTTATAGATCTATGTTAATCGGCGCTGGAGGGATTGCTGCTATGGATGAACGCACTCCTTCCAATGGACCTAATATCAAGGGATTACTTCAATCTTCCACTTATTTAGCTGGTCTTTCTGGAGGTGCGTGGTTAGTTGGTACACTTGCAACTAATAACCTACTATCAATTGGAGATTTAATTGCCGGAGGGAAATTATGGGAATTGAGTTCTATATTGGATTATTATGGATCAAATTTTATTAAGAATCAATTAATGTGGGCTACTATTGCTGTTCAATGTTTAGCGAAAAAAGAGGCTGGGTTTGATATCACGATTACTGATCCTTGGGGTAGAGCGTTATCATATCAGTTTTTGGCAACATTTAGTAATAATGGAGATTCTCAAAAATGGTCAGATATTGGAAAAACATCATCTTTCCAAAGTTATGAAATGCCATTTCCTTTACTTGTCGCTGATGGTCGTGTCCCTGATTCTGTGATTACCAATTTAAATTCTACCGTATTTGAATTAACTCCATACGAGGTTGGATCATCGGATCCAAGTTGTGGTACATTTGTTCAAACACCATACATCGGAAGTGCATTAGATAACGGTTACCCCGCCTCCGGTAAGAACAAATGCGTAAATGGATTCGACAATTCCGGATTCTTCATCGGTACATCCTCCTCAGTATTCAACGAAGCCATCCTCGAACTCGGTACCACTAATCTTCCATCCTATATCACGTACATCCTCAAGGATATCTTATCCATCTTCGACGAAGACAACTTGGACGTGGCGAATTACGATCCTAACCCATTTTACAAATCTCACAACGCCACCACCCCAATCGATGAATCATCCACGTTATACCTTGTAGATGGTGCTTCAGATGGTCAAAACCTCCCCCTTGCGCCATTACTCACTCGAAAACTCGATATCATAATCGCTCATGATGCAGCTAATGACAACCAAAACGGCTGGCCAGACGGCACATCCTTGATCAGCACTTATCAACGACAATTCCTGCCCCAAGGTGCAAATTTTCATTTCCCATATGTGCCTGATCAATACACATTCAGAAACCTCAACCTAACCTCCAAACCCACTTTTTTCGGCTGTGATGCCCAGAATCTAACCTCTCTCACATCAGATATTTATGATGTTCCATTAGTCGTATATCTCGCCAACAGACCTTTTACATATTGGTCAAACACATCAATTTTTAAATTAGCCTACAGCGCCGAAGAAAGAAACGCTATGATTCAAAACGGATACGAAATCTCCACTCGGAATAATGGAACTATCGACACCCAATGGCCTACATGTTTGGCATGTGCCGTTATCCGTCGACAACAGGAAAGATTGGGTCAAGAACAGTCAGATCAATGTAAGGCGTGTTTTGAAGAATATTGTTGGCTGGGAGAAATATATACTGGTCCTGATTTGGGAGATAATTTTAGTGAGGATGGAGTGACTAGTAGTAGCGAGTATTTTAATGCGAATAATGTTGCCGGGTTTAATGATGGTGGCATGGAGATTTTATAGGAGGAGATATTGGGGGTTAAGGTTTTCGGAACAGGGGAAAGCGATAAGAAAATGTGGGTGCAAAAGAAACTCTGTGTTTGATCTCCCTTGTTTCAGATCTGATGCTTTTTTTGAGGATTTCTCTTTTTGCTGGTTAAAACTTGCTAGTATCTTTATTGCTTGTGAATGGAATTGATTGTTGATCGATATCTACTGTGTAATTAGAATAATTAGAATAAAAAGTAAATCCTGTTAATGACAGCTCTATAAAAAATCTAAATGAAAAAATACAACTATCAGCGTCTAATGATCTAGGGAACACTTCTACTGAACCACCATTGTTAATCAAATCATGAGTAGCTTCAAATAATGGGAATTTATGTAGTAAAGTAAAATTAACCAATAATTCATAAACTTCTTCAGCAGTAAGCATACCTTGAGAACTTTGTCCCTTCAAGACAATCTTTGACTAAGCCCTAATAAGACTCCTCCAAATATGAAATCTGAAGTACAAATAGTTGCTTCTGTCACAATACATTTATGATACATAAGAATAGTTTATTACAATAAGTATCTGTGTTTTTTGGGGGTTCTCAACATTAAAGAACAATTAAGGGAATTCTACGGAATCATTTGGTATTTATAACCAAGTAGTGAAATATACGAGGAACATAAGAATTCAATTTATGATTTATTAAATTTCCATATTTCCACATTTCCATATACTTTTTAATTACATATTAACTTGAAAATAATTTGTTGCACCCAATTTAATCAAGCTACGTGTATGATAACTTACAACAGCCGTGTACCGCACCTTTACAAATACATCTATAGTACCAATTAGTTTCACTCAGCTAATGATGTAATTAATTATACTATTCGACATCTTCATCCATCCAATTGCTGACTAAAAATTTACAAAAGCTGAAATCCAGAGAGTTGGTTGACTGGGAACATTTTGAATCTACGTATCCAATTGAATAATAGCTAGAATAATCCCACATAAAAGATACAAACACGACATTCGAATGTCATGCAGCGACTCCCAAACCTAACCCATTCAATGTATGGACTTATCTCGAGATAAGTTTTTTGATATTCATATTTTGACTCAGCTGAGCCAAGCATCTTGAGGATCTGTTAATCAGAGAGCCCGGCTGTGCGTAAGGTCGACTACAAACTATAAAGGAAATCGTATATTAATTTATATATATTTCCCAGATTCCTCAATAATACTACTGGAGAAAGGGATTGTTATCTTGATTATACACTGATAACTTACCTAATAGATATAACGAAAAAAAGCCCAGTCTGACTCGGTGCTATACTATTACTCCACCATTACCTAATACACCATAATAAATAAGACAGACCCACTCATTTTGAAGTGGCTTAATTCGGAGACTTGCTTAGGATGATACGGGATTGATTGATCGTCCTTCCCATAGCCATTTGACATATAATTAATTTCTGGGGATGGGCGAGGTAAGAAATATTTTATTAAATATGAAATTCAAAAAAAAAATATTTTCCATGTCCAAAAATTTATTCTATGGGCTTTTTTCAGATTAAATCCATAATAGGAAAGCACTTTCCCTTTCAGTTCAAACAAGAACAATACTTGACAACTAGCACAACAATAAGGGATCATGCAATAAGTAAATGTACATGATTGATGATCATTAAAATTAAATTGTTGGGGAAACATCCATTGTTTAACAGTCTATTGTTTGGTTGATTTACGATTAGTTATTGTATTGTTCTTTTGATTTGGAGGCCTGAGCGNAAAGAAGATCTGGTCTATTTCCTATTGGATAAATAGTCATGTTCATCCAAACTACTTAATACTCTAATTAGACAATATAATTAGCTAGGGAGAATCTCAATTGTTGAAATAAAAAAATATGGCTACAAATAAGATAGCATGGTACTGCTTGAATCAACCCTCTAAGAACGCTCTTCCAACAGTTTGTTACCCAATGATTATTTATTTGGTATTGTTATTATTTTTA